GGGGGGGGGGGGGGGGGAAAGAGGGACGTCGAGACCGTTGATGTGATTTACAATTGTGTGATGTACAACATGCCTTGACACATGATGCTGAACCGCGGCGGTCGGTGGGACCTCAAGAGGCGCGCGTGCACGCTCCCTTTGGTCTCGTCCACGGCCTATAAGGACTAATTTAGCACTTACTTCGCCTCTACACCTGACTGGCGTTGGAACTATCTAGAACAACCATGCACGGCAAACTGTTGTACAAATGTGGCACCCGGTCTTTCGGAAGCATACTGTAACAGTAACGCACCGCCGGAGGAGCTGAAAAGGGAGGGCGCAAAACACATCGCTGACACCCAGTAATAGCAACATGATTAGACACATCCGACAGCGGAACTACTGTGCCTCTGCCAGGATCAGCACTAAAAAAATGGGACATAGGTCAATAGAGACAGAAAAGAGAGACGAAGAGACACAGAGAATGAGGGGGAGGGGGCGGGGGGAGCGAGAGGCGGAGACAAACAAAGAGCGAAGGGTACGCAACGAAAGCTGCGAGAGGCGCAAGCACTGATCAAAAGAAGCAATATAACACAGGACAAGCAAAAGACATTTTTTCGGGATTCAGATACACCCGCACGCACCGTCGGGCTTGTGGCTCGTGGACAAAAACGCCACCGTGAGTTTTCCCACAGTCTTGATGCCCCCCCTCCCCAGGTAAAAGAGATTGCTCGCCACCTGCTGGACTTCCGNGGGGGGGGGTGGGGGGGGGGGGGGGGGGGGGGGGGGGGGGGGGGGGGCACACATGTTTTGCATGCTATAACGGTTAGACCATTGACCACGCGTCCTTGAGAGGACGGAACCCTACAAAGCCGGGACGGAGCACGCCGGGTTCTCACCGGACCAGGCTCTCACATCACCAAGCGCGAAGCGCCGTGAGATAGTCGGCGAGTCGCATGAAGGGTGCGCTGCATCCTGCTAGGGTTTTCGGCAACTTGTGCTTACTTCCTTGCGTACGGATGACAGCTGCGTATGGCTTAATTTATTTTCTGGTGCTTTCGAATCCTGAGACAGTCGTAAGCACTGTGTAGCTGCCTCGAGGGTGCTTGACCATTTTTAACACAACATGGTGCGATCGTCCCCCTTGCGCGGAGTGAGGGTTCTCCACCCCGCACAACATGATCTACTCGACCACCATTATGGTT